CACAGAACACTCGAAATCATGCCTCTGTCGGACTGTGCCTGTGGTCCTTTTTTCTTCTTCTTTATCTTTGTAAGATTTCCCTCGAACTACGGATCTCTCGAACTACTTAGGCCGTTCCCAACAAATTCAAGCTATCCGTGTTATACTGTATTTTTTACAAAAGGCATTACAGTGAAGGAAACAGCACCCTCACACAAGGAATTAAAGGCTTTCTGCCCACCTCAAACCCCTTGTTTTCTCATTTGTGAAGCACTGATGAGCTAATGGAGATCAAATGTGTGCCTGATGTGACACAAAAACAGAATGGGAGTTTCCATGTTCACATATTGTTGAAGTGCCGTAAGGTCTTTGCTACCAAACCAAAAGTGGTAGCAGCATTAGCTATCTCTACTACAGAATGGAATTTGGGGACCCTTGGCACGTTTATGCAGTTTCTTAAGTTGCAAGTCTCAGCCCAAACCATGGACAGTGGCACCAGAAGGGATTGTGCCCAATTAGAGAGGGCAGGATTGCCATAGATGGGTGTGGCTTAGAAAAGCAGGAAAGGAACCATCTTTTATAGAAGGAAAAACGGACTGACAGACCTCTCTACTGCCGAGGAAGAGGGACTGATTAGGAATAAAGAAGTCCTTCTGCAATTTATGGCTGTGCTTTCCTCTGTTGGCAACTTTGAGTCGCATGCTTTTGACATATTTCTCTTAATTTCTTCTTTATATTTGATATTACCCCTAAATTGACATCTCTGTTGCATCACTACTTGCTGTATTTTTTGGGACTTTTCCCCCCTTAGAATTAGGTATCGTAGATATGGTTACATTGACAAATGGTTAATTGCCTTTATACAATAATTCATGCTCCTACCTGTTCCGTTTAGAAAGTAATGACAGAATCAGTACGTTTTTTCAATTTTTCTCAAAACGACAAAACTAAGAGGTATGGGTTGCGGCCAGAACTCTCACCTCAAAATTCAAGAGGAGGAATTTTTAAATATTTGGTCTCAATATAAAAAAAAAGAATTATCTGTGATTGTAGTTTGGCTTTTTTTTATAACTCCCTCCAATTTTGAAAAATACTGTTTCGAGTGCTTCAGTTGATGCTAAAATGCTAAAATTAGCAGTCAAGCAATAGTTATTACGTTATCCTCAATATCTCTTTAGAAGTTTCTAGTATCAAAGAAAAAAGCACCACTAGGATTACAGATTCTACTGTCAGTGTGCTCATGTGAAACTGTGAGCACTTTAGTTAATAAACTGATTGAGAGAGAGAGAGAGAGAGAGAGAGAGAGAGAGAGAGAGAGAGAGAGAGAGAGAGAGAGAGAGAGAGAGAGAGAGAGAGCGGGCCGGATTGAATTAAAATTGCTTCTGTTCACACAAGACATGGAAAATATTCAAATTCCTTACAGAAAGACTATAAAGACTATATTTTACTAGCTGGCTTTCATTTTGAACACCTAGTGTGTTTTATGGTCACACCGAATGGTCCTTGAATGTGTTAATAATAAAGTTAGAAATATTACCAGCTATAGTATACCTACCCTTCAAGACCTCCAAATTGTGTAATTCGGACGTCCACTACTGTTCAGTTCCAGCAAACTTCTCTTTTGTTTCTTTACAGGCAATGTCTATGGCTCTTCGATCCACTCTTAAGCATATTAAACTCACTGACTCGGTTCAACAATTTAGGAGGCAGAGGCAGGCTGTTGTAAGACTGCCTGTCAGAACCTACTCGGGCTTCCAAGCAGAAAGAGGAGATTCTCGATAAAATAAATCCCTTAGGACATAAATCTATTTCATGCCTTTTGTGTGAGCAGCGAAAAGGAGAACTCTGATGACAATCAATCGTTGAATCTCTCATTTGTTCATGACTCTAGCGTAGACGAAGTAAAACTATTGTCTTCTTTGAACAACAGAAGTGTGCCAAAGAGTAAACTGAATATCACCAGGATTCGTTTGGGATATGTTGCAACGTTGATAAAAACCAAAACCTTTCTCTACCCTATGTCAATATCGTTAGTTTCACAATACTTACTAGTGCCAAGATCTTAAAAGTGTGGCCTGTTCCTAAAACTGGGTTGTATGACGCATTATTGTTACAGGAACAACGTTCAAGTAACTGGGAAAGGAAGATACATCAAGATATACCAATCAAGTCCCCAGAGCGGATAAAGCTGAGCTAAAAGCAGGGGCGAAGCGTCTATATAATCAAATAATCACTGCTTTCCTTCCTAATTTTGAAACATTGTCGCTGTCAAATTCATCCATAAACGTAAACCTCTTAAATTAAATGTCAAAAGACGTTCGTAATCAACAATGAACAGTATGCCTAACATTCAAAACGGTTTCACGGCCACAGAAATAGCCTCCTCACCCCTCTCGGGCCACTCCATAAGCAGTCGCAAGCTTTGCTTAAGTAAGCTTAAAGTGAGACTGGAAGAGTCTACCAATTCAGTTGAAGGAAACATGAGCATAGCAGTCTAAGCTGTTTCATTGCCACATATACCCTGTTCACCCCTTTGGGGTCACAGTTATAATCAATCCCAAGCCTTGATTATGTAAGCTAACTAACACTGGTCGAGTCTACCTCACAAATGTGAGGGGAACTAACTCCTAACAATCTCTTCACTGTTGCAAGTGCTTGCTTTCTTTCCTCGACTTTTTACCGTCCTATAATCAGATCGTGACCTCGATTATGACACCAGCTCCTGGCCGCGAAAGGCTAACAAAAACAGCCAAATGTGAAATTTAAAAAATGATAATTGTCATGTTCTACCAAAGTGTTAGACTCACTGGTAGATCTATAACATATAGATCTAGTACTGACATCTCTGCTTCTTTGCTTTGTGTTTATTAATTCACATCTAAAGTTAAATTTAATTTTCGTTGGAACTGATATTTAATAAGATACTTTCCCGATTATTTTGGCGGTTAAACATAAAATATGAATTCCGGATTTGTTTTCATTCACAACGCAGAGTCGCCGCCTCGAGTAAGATTCTTGTGTCATATCTACAGGCCATATCTGATCCCGTTTCACTTTGATTACCCTGTCAAACAAGTCAGCCTTCGCCCCTGTCAAAAAGTATTGATGATCAGGACCACGGAACTTCAATGGAAGACCTATAGAAGCATCTGATTTTTGTGGTAATTGAAACAATGCTTACGAAGATGGTAAAATACAAACTTTATAATTCCTTCGATTTAAAAGGGTGCCAAGTAGTTGCTAAGATGTGTATTTTCCCAAATAAATTGTTTTGCTTTTTAAAACATTGTTTTTCTACTCCAGATCGATCATCGCCATTCACATCAACCCAAATACCCAGATTTAATTAATGATTTCCTGATGAGAAAGTCTCTCAAGCTCAGAAACGTTTGTTTTGTTCATACATGTAATATGTTTGTTTTAGAAATGCCTGTGGAACAAAATCCAGTCGCCTACTTTGTTTCCTATTTTTCCCATCGAAGAAAAAACAACAACACAAAGACACCCTTTGTACTCGCAAAGGCAACAAAAAATATTTTATTGTTCATAAATGGCTGTATAGATTAAAGCATGCTGTAATGTAATATCTCCAAGAACAAATTGGGGACGATTTTAAAGGACATAAGCGTTCTGACCGCTAAGTTCGGATTGCTGGAAACGAAAATACATGAACATGCGTAACCTAATTAGTAACATTAGGTGATGTTTAATATCATTGCATGTCGTGTTATAAATGTATGTACATGTAAATATAAATGTGTTAATTATAATTAAATTATATTTATATTATCATCTCACTGAAAACCTCACTTGGAAAAGTATATTTAGATTTCAAATATCGTCTTATGTTACTTATGAGCGCATGCACAGACTTATAGGTTCCTCGTGGTTACACACAGATGACGTGAGTTTGAGTCCCGAGTAAAGAAAGTCTTTCTTTTTATCAAGTACCGTATTTTCATCTATCTGCCGGACCTTGGTATCGCACTCAACTATTGTTTGCCCTGGCAAGCAAGGTCGAAGTAGACACCCCTGAATTATCTAAATTGTGCCCATGGGAGCGTAAACAATTTACAACAATTTACAATCGACATTTGTATTCTTGGAATTGGATAGTACGCTTGCTTTTTTATTCCAGAATGACCCATACATAGTCTCGTTACAATAACAGAGTTTATAAAACAATGGATTAATACAAGAGCCCGTAAAAGCACACATACTTCTACATATTGATGTAAAACAGCAGAATGAATAGCTTCTTATAGTTTTTGTGTCGTCACTGTACATGAAAGCAATTGAAATAAGCCTCTCTTCGCGCTTTTTAAAAGAAAAGGCTGGGCTTTTTTTTTCTTAGACTGCTTTCTATTGGTCTGATGGCATTGTACAGGACACGGGATTCTGTATTAGACTATAATCATCTCTGTTACGCGATTATCTGCATTCGAGAGAGACATTGGTTACCTCGATACACTGATTCATGTACATGACGAAGGTTTACATGACGAAGGTTAAAAATGGAATTGCAGCTCGCCTATGGAGCTTAGAACGAGCTGTGATATGCGTTTTGCCCATTGTGGTTTGGGTGCCTGAGGAAGAGTAGATTATAGTTTCTAGACGGGCAGTACTCATACATTTGAGGCATTTCCAAAACGTACCGAAAACCTTCAAAATAAATGTTCGCTGACTTCTGTTATAACACATCTAAGTCTTTAGCTGTGGTTGACTTTAAGTGCCGCTCCCCCCCACCAGGCGCATCAAAAAAGAATTAATTGATAAATCTAGACTGGGAATTGAACTCAGTTCTTGTGCACTCAAGGCGAGGAGTGACTTTCATTATACAGACACACGTCCTTTGAAATGGATGACGTCTCCTTTACCAGTGTTTCCGAATAGTACACTGTCAAACATAATAAATCATGAAACAGACATAATATACTCAACGTGGTACCTTTGTCTTATAGCTATCAAATGTTCAGTTATGCCAATTTAGTAAGAATAAATAACTATATCTGGAACTAGGG